ATGAATATATGAAGTTCATATATTTTGAACTGCAGTTATAGATACGTATGATGCACGATCCTCGCAGTAGAGAGCGCTATTTATGCAATAGCGAAAATCAGACCTGAAAAAAATCAGGCCTGTACGGGATTCGAACCACTGACCTCTGCGATACTAGTGCAGCGCTCTACCAATTGAGCTAACAAGCCAACTGGGAGCAGGCCGTTAAGTTGATTCGTAATAAACCCGTGATGATAAATCAGATACGATGAATATATGAAGTTCATATATTTTGAACTGCGGTTATAGATACGTATGATGCACGATCCTCGCAGTAGAGAGCGCTATTTATGCAATAGCGAAAATCAGACCTGAAAAAAATCAGGCCTGTACGGGATTCGAACCACTGACCTCTGCGATACTAGTGCAGCGCTCTACCAATTGAGCTAACAAGCCAACTGGGAGCAGGCCGTTAAGTTGATTCGTAATAAACCCGTGATGATAAATCAGATACGATGAATATATGAAGTTCATATATTTTGAACTGCGGTTATAGATACGTATGATGCACGATCCTCGCAGTAAAGAGCGCTTTTTATGCAATAGCGAAATCAGACCTGAAATAAATCAGGCCTGTACGGGATTCGAACCACTGACCTCTGCGATACTAGTGCAGCGCTCTACCAATTGAGCTAACAAGCCAACTGGGAGCAGGCCGTTAAGTTGATTCGTAATAAACCCGTGATGATAAATCAGATACGATGAATATATGAAGTTCATATATTTTGAACTGCGGTTATAGATACGTATGATGCACGATCCTCGCAGTAGAGAGCGCTATTTATGCAATAGCGAAAATCAGACCTGAAAAAAATCAGGCCTGTACGGGATTCGAACCACTGACCTCTGCGATACTAGTGTAGCGCTCTACCAATTGAGCTAACAAGCCAACTGGGAGCAGGCCGTTAAGTTGATTCGTAATAAACCCGTGATGATAAATCAGATACGATGAATATATGAAGTTCATATATTTTGAACTGCGGTTATAGATACGTATGATGCACGATCCTCGCAGTAGAGAGCGCTATTTATGCAATAGCGAAAATCAGACCTGAAAAAAATCAGGCCTGTACGGGATTCGAACCACTGACCTCTGCGATACTAGTGCAGCGCTCTACCAATTGAGCTAACAAGCCAACTGGGAGCAGGCCGTTAAGCTGATTCGTAATAAACTTAACGTAAACCTGATTTTTTTCGGGTCTGATTTTCGCTATTGCATAAATAGCGCTCTCTACTGCGAGGATCGTGCATCATACGTATCTATAACCGCAGTTCAAAATATATGAACTTCATATATTCATCGTATCTGATTTATCATCACGGGTTTATTACGAATCAACTTAACGGCCTGCTCCCAGTTGGCTTGTTAGCTCAATTGGTAGAGCGCTGCACTAGTATCGCAGAGGTCAGTGGTTCGAATCCCGTACAGGCCTGATTTTTTTCAGGTCTGATTTTCGCTATTGCATAAATAGCGCTCTCTACTGCGAGGATCGTGCATCATACGTATCTATAACCGCAGTTCAAAATATATGAACTTCATATATTGATCATATCTGACTTATCATCACGGATTTATTACGAATCAACTCAACGGTCTGCTCCCAGTTGGCTTGTTAGCTCAATTGGTAGAGCGCTGCACTAGTATCGCAGAGGTCAGTGGTTCGAATCCCGTACAGGCCTGATTTTTTTCAGGTCTGATTTTCGCTATTGCATAAATAGCGCTCTCTACTGCGAGGATCGTGCATCATACGTATCTATAACCGCAGTTCAAAATATATGAACTTCATATATTGATCATATCTGACTTATCATCACGGATTTATTACGAATCAACTCAACGGTCTGCTCCCAGTTGGCTTGTTAGCTCAATTGGTAGAGCGCTGCACTAGTATCGCAGAGGTCAGTGGTTCGGATCCCGTCCAGGTCTGATTTTCGCTATTGCATAAATAGCGCTCTCTACTTCTCTACTTTATAATCGTAACGGTGGCCAATTTACCATTTGAACTTTGTTGATATATTCAAATTATTTCATTAATGATGACCACGCATTCTGCCCAAGGTAAGACTAGGCGGATTTCGATTCTGTCTTCACATGATTTTTTAGCGGTAAAGATAGAAATTGGGTCGTATCTTGAGCAAACTCTTTAAAAAAAAACTCTAACGTAACTACAGAAGTGTATTAAGGTTGTACCTTTCTGGGTTATATTAATTTGTTCTTTCAATTCATCCATCTTCTTCTGCAACAAAGCAAGGTCTTCCTTACTTGCTCCACCTTCAACTTTTTCCTTTATTGCATTTGTCAACGCCTTTAATTCGTCAATACTTGAACCCTCGCCTTCGAGAAATTTGATTCGCTCTCGAAGCTCCTGTTTGATACCTTGCTCCAAATTGCGAACTGCTGTGGTGGGAAAGTCAGACTCTGTCAAGCCACCAATGGCATCAATTGGGTCAGTTTTGATACCAAGAGCTTTGAATGCTTCCCTAGCCAGCTGTATGTAGTTGTCAAATGTTGGTTTATCGATCTCTGACTTTTCCAAGTGACAAAGGGAATTTCGCAACAATCGAAGCTGATCAATCGCGAGTGTAAACGTCTCATCTTTGTTTCCAGTTGGACTCACCACAGATGAATGAAACTTTCCATGAGGTATTTTACGGTGTCTCGTGTACAACTCACTAAGGGTCCTCTTATGGCCTGTGCTGTCCAGCATAGCGAAGGACTTCGCATATACGGTGGCCTGAAAAAGGGCTGTACAGTCCCATTCTTCATAGGAAAGATGTGTGGGAACATTGGTTTTACCACCCTCTTCGGCGAGAAACAAGTTTCTTACTGCTGGGGAGTCATCCCACAATTGATATCCGGGCCGATGCCCAAAAGTGTTGTCCCACATGGTCTTGAACGTTTGACGCAAGGCACTCGCGATGTCATTCAACACAATGGAGGAAAACTTGAAATAATTCAACTGCTTGTCACTAAAGGGCTGCAGTGACATGTTTGGCTCTGACTTTTGTATCTTTAACAATCTAAAGAGGATGTTTTGAGAGATTATTTATTCAGTGTAACATGACCATTTTCATAAATGGCTGCCGGATTAATATTCTTTTGTTTAAATTTAAATTAGCCTTTCTGGCCTCGTTCTCCAGTAAAAAATTCAAAAGAATGCATTATCTTAAGCGAGGCCAGAAAGGCTAATTTAAGTTTAAACAAAAGAATTTTAATCCGGCAGCCATTTATGAAAGTGGTCAATGTCAAATACACTTCAATACACTCCATTGCAAAAACGCTGACAACTGAAACGTACCAAACATGAGCGATCAGACCTATCAGACTCATGAGTATGAAAGAACATACTCACAATCATTATTTATAATCGGGAGGGGGGCGGAGTATTTTCAAAGGGGAGTTTATTAACTGCCAGTGAGGAGGAACATAAGAAAATTACAGAGCCTTAATGGCGATCAGGTAAATTTTATCGAGACACAAACAAATTTCTCCCAACCCCCTCCCCCCAGGAAGTAAATGATGACTGCTCTCTCAGGTGTCAACATTTTTGCTATCAAGCGGCAGCTTATGTTGATTTTCTAACTTATGAGGCTATGACGGAATTTTTGTGGAAATAAGAGGTGGCCTCGCGGAGCGTGTGATGGACCAATGGAATTCACACGCGACTTTATGTAGTCACGTGGTTTGAAATGGTAAACAAAGATTCAAATAACTGCTCAAGTAAGTGATGCGGACGACTTCTTATAGACGAAATCCTTCTTTCTCTTGCCGAATTTTCATATTTACAGATAAATCAGCACTCAAAATCGGTAAATATCGAAATAGAAAAAAAACCTGAGTGGTAACGATCTTTAACGATTTCAAAACATACATGCAACGGAAAGAAAAAGGAAGCAGCTATATCACGAAGAGATAGCTTTTAGCGATTTTGTGATTTTCAGTGGCTTGTAACCACATTTGATCACTAATTTGGGCCATTCGATGAAACCAATTAGCATGCACAATCACTGTAATGACAGCAGATTGTCGAGGTAAGCAGGAGTAGCTCGATACATGTCAGAGGGATTTCTTAGAGGAGATACACGGAAAGAAACAAAGCAGTGGAAATTAAGTTACCGAAACACTCTTACCACTATTTCCTCAGTCATAAGTCTATTAAATTTCCTGATTTTTCCTCACAATTTCAATTTCATCAACTTGTCCCTATAACCTCCAAACTCATCTTATAGAAATTCTTTCCTCCCTGTGTACTTGAATTGATAGTAAGTTCCTTAAGATATCATGGAAGACGGACTGATTTTCTTGGAACCCCAACATCAGTTTATTTTACTAATCTAATACCCTTCATGTCCGGGAAATGTGCCAAAGAATTAAAAGGTAAGAAAACAATGAATATGGTAGAAAAAGAATATGTATGCTTTCAATGAAACTAGAAAAAAAAGGAAATGTGTGTTTTCATTCACATACGAACCTCAACGTACATAACAAAGGGAAAGGATCTGCCGGTCCCTCATGTTCTAAACAATGCACATATTAGCATCATATTATAAAAAGGAAAATGTCACCATCTTTCATCATGAAGAGGACCAAGACAAGATGAGCAGCTTTATATTTATTTGAAATCTCACTTTTCGCTGACTTCTTTAAAAGATATGAATTTTCCCTGGCTCAAATTGAAATTTCCTGACTTTTCCTTAGCGTTGACGTATGTGTGACAACCATGCCTACAATTTTCTTGCCGGTAACCAAACACTACCTTATTACATGATATTTTCGCGACACGTTAATTTCGTGAGTTTCCTGATTCCAAAACAATCGCGAAATTAAAGTGACGTGAACTCTAAATGTCGCGAATATAACATGACGCCAAAATAGCAACCATTAAGTGCTATTGTTATTGTTGACGTTCATTTCCGTCGTTGCGTTTTTGTTAAGTTTGACGTTAAAGTAGTTATATTCATTTAAAGGACATTTGAAATAACATTGCCAAGGAAAAGTTAGCTGTGTCTTCCTCAAGAACGCGAAATTAGAGTGATTTTAGGTACAACTGAATTTTTCGCAAAATCGCGAATTTAAATGTTGTGATCTACGGGCACCTCAAAATCAGGAAATTAAAGTGTCGCGTAATTATCTTGTAATGAGGAACTTCTTTTATAACATAGCTAGCAGAGCAGCGCAATCAAATTCAATATACGTAAAAGCGTGCTCAAAATCCCGATAGTGCACGCTGATAGTGTGAGTAAATCGCTTCGCCAGAATTTTTTTTTTCGCGCGAGCGGCCATTGTTAGCCCGTGGAAAAATAATATATTTCGGGACAATAATGGATGCTAACAGAGACTCGGCCCACCAGCCCCAAAACGAAGACAATTTTCCGACCTTTTCCAGTGCATGGGCTAGAGTTCTTAAATGAGGCAGAAAACGAGAAAAACAACGGAAAAGGAGACTGCATCAGCGCCGTCACGATTCGCTTCACTAGTCCGAGGGTGAAATGCAACAAATTGTGACAGAAAGACACTCTGGTAAAACCAAACAAATGACAAACTGGTCTGTTTCAACCTTCAAAGGTAAGCTTAAATTTTCCGCTTTAAAATTGTTAATATATAGTTACAGTTGTCCTCGGAAATATCCTCACGGAAAAATTGTCTGCAAAAATATTAACACATATCCTCACGGAAACATTGTCTGCAAAAGTATTAACACATTTAATTACATCAAATTACAGATGTAGCGATAACAGTCTTTGTGTCTGGTTTTCCTTCACGAAAATAACTTTTAAATGATTTCTTTTTAAACTCAAAGAAAACTTGTTTTTATTTTAGCTCGGTGTGACGAGAAACAAATACAAACTCCGATGGAAAACATGACGGTTGGAAAACTGGACACAAACAAATATTTCGCTTATCGTGAATAATCACTTCTGATATTGTTGTCAGTTTTTCGCGTCGGATTTGATGCACAATTCCACCGGCTTTGTTATAAAACGATTGGTTCATACTTTTAGCTGTGCACTATCGAGTTATGGAGCACGTGCAAGTGGGAAGTTTGGAGAGCACTCAAGAAGCTAGAGTTGCCCTCGGCTATTTCCTCGGGCAACTCTTACGCTTCTTTCGTGCTCTCCAAACTTCCCGCGTGCTCCATAACTATAACTCGATAGTGCACGCTAAAGCATGAACCAACTGTTAATTTCAAATAGATTCGTGTTGGCCAGAAAGCAATGAAGGACATGCGCTATCTTTCGGCTGTCTACATTAAACTCAACACCATCGTCTTCGAAATTTCAGAACACACTTTGGCACTAGATGCTATTCGTAAGTTACCATTTGGATCTTTTTTTCAGACCAAAAGTCCAAATCTGTTTTAAAACAATCTGAAAGACATTATGGCTTACATTTAAAAATCGAATCGAGAAGAATTTCTTTTTCTGAGCACTTACTGATGCAATTTTCAAACAAATATTCGCTTAGGATCGCTAAGGTCTTTAGGAAAAGACGAAACCGAATTTGTAAAAAAATTGAACTAGTTTTAGACGTAATATTCAGTTAATTTATTGTGAGGACGACTGTTGTTTACCCTATTTCAGACCACAAGCATTTAAACAGCTTTTTGGTGAAGTCGCCGACTCCCATGCCCCAAGAATCCGTGTGCGAGTCAGGGGACATAAGGTAATGTGGCTGACACGCAGGGTGAAACAACTAAATGAATGAAAGAGGTCACTTTCATAATCTGGCATTGAGGACAAACAATGAGCTTCATTGGACCTCTTACAAACGCTTACGCAATGTTGTGACTTTGAAGCTCAGAAAAGATAAACAAAGATATTATAATGAACAGTTCCGGGAGACAAGAGGAGATTCCTGAAAAAACCTAAAACAACTACTCGGAAATGGCTCAAAGAGTAACAGCGCTGCTGCTCGTACGGCAAATGAAACAAAAGACAAGTGTAACACTTTTAAGCGCTTCTTTGTCTCTTGTGCCGAAGATTTAATGTCGATCCACCGATCAAGCGCTCGATCTTTTTCCAAATGGCTGCCGCAAATTGATCGTCCGGAAAAATTTAATCTACGAAAGATCACTGTATCGGAGGTTAGTAAGGCTCTTAAAGATTTAAAATCGAAGAAAGCGACAGGTGTTGATGGTATTCCATCTCGTCTACTAAAGGACGGATCAGACGCCCTGGCTTCTCCATTGTCGGTCATTTTCAATTTAACTATCCAACAAAACGTTATCCCTGCTGAATGGAAAGAAG